GCCAATGCCTCAGTCATGAAGGCCAAGGCCATAACGTCAGAATAAAATGGCGCCTAGGCCCCACGACCGAATTATGGATGATTTCGGGACAGTTCAGAGCAGTTTTAGAGTGGTTTCATGGAAATTTTAAGAGCAGTTTGGAGAGAATTTAAGGGGACGAAGAGTTTGTGAAAGAGGAGGACAATAGAGAAATGAAAAGTGTGTGTTCTAGGGTTAGAGAGCGTTTTGGAGGGATTTTCCTCCTGTGCTTGTAAGTGTCCTTGGCTTTTTTTACGGAAGTCTAAAGGTGTGAGGTGTTGTTTTGTAAGTGTTGCTGTATAAATTGTTGCAGTGAGAAGGGCAAGAGTTTGAGTGGAGAAATCTCGAGGCAAATTGAGGGAGAGAGATAAGTATATTTGTGATTTGAAGTTGTAATTTCATTGAAACACATTTTTGTGCTGAACTCTTTGTTTTAATGCATTCTGGTGTTGTTTTATCCATGCTTTTTGAGTAAATTTGCTTTCTTTTTCTTGTGATGATGTAGTAGATGTGTAGGAATATGGATAGTATGCATGAAAATTTTTTATTCTATAATTGTGATGATTCCCTTTTGCACTTTGTTTACTTTTTAATCTGACAATATGATCTGTTAAAATTTGTTGTGAACCTGTAAGGATTCAGAAGAGTTACGACATGAACAACTAGAAAAATCACGTTGAACTATAGGGCATGAATCAAAGTACACCATAGGTAGATGCAAATAAATAGGGAGATAAATTTCATTGGGTTTAAAGTGAGATTTAAGGAATTAAGGTCACTTTAACCAAGCCTCTTTATACGCTCGGGGGAGGATAAAGAGCATTTATGCTTCTATTTGTCCCAAAATTTTATTTCACATTTTTTCTACATTTACACTATACTATTACCTTTGTAAGGAAAAATAATCTTAGCACTTGGCAAAACTAATTCAAATAGTGTAGTTAGAAATTTTGTAGGTGTAACTTTAGATAAATGTGATAGGTTTGTTAGTAAAACTCATGTATTTCAATATTTCAAACTAAGAACAAATTAAGTGAACTAGAATATTTTCCTACTTTGGCTTCCCATTGTTTTCTATGGGTTCGACATTCCGGACTCTTTAGAGCCCTATATTACTGAAATGATATGTATAATTTTGTGAAAAACCCCAGTGTATGGAAAATATCATGTTTTTTGGTGCCATTACCAGGATGTACACACCTGAGGTGGACCAACACATCATCTTAATTCCTCTATAATTTGTACACTCTTGTGTATCCTCTTTATTCTTAAAATTAGGGACCAAAATACACTTCCTCTCAGGCATCTTTTTAGTTTTTAAAATAATATTAAAGTGTTTAGTAAGCCAAGAAACTCCTAAATCTCCTAAATAATTCTGCACTTCAATTGGGATATCATCAGGTCCTTCTGAAAAGATTCCCTTTATATAGCATGTGATAATTTTTTTGGGAGAATGTGAGTAATGATGGTTTTGAGAACATTCGGTATTGAGATTGTAAAATAAATTGTTGGTTGGTGCAATCTTTGTTTCTTTTGTATCGGGGCATGTGAGTCTTTTTTAGTTTGCTGTTTCCAGAATAAATTCTATTGCCAAGTTTTGCTTTGTTAGAGATGATCTATTTTGTTACTTTTTATTAAGTTAAAACTTCTTCAGATTATACGTAGGTGGCAAAATTTTGGTTGATTGTGAACCTATACTTGGAGCTAACTGCTTTTGTTTTGTTTCTGATTTAAATGCATTGTATTTTCCACTTGTGCTTTAGTATGTATTTATTTGTCTTGTTTTTTCCCGTACTTCAAAAATTTTTTGCTTTGCCCTGCTAGTGTTCTATTTCAGTATTTTTTTAATGATGAAATTTGATGAATTGTGGAATCATAATTTTTTTTATAAATGCTATCTCCATTTGATTATTCAGCATATGAAAAATAACCCTTTGGATGTTAGTTTTCCTTTGATTTTTCTTTGTAGATTTTGTGGTCGCTGAATGACTACTTTTCAGTAGAACCACTAATAGATTTTTTTTATTAAAGAAAAAGATACAGATATGTTTGTATGTGTTGGCCTAAACACCCAACCCACACGGTATAACAAAAAAAGAAAAAAAAATATAAAAGATGGGTACATGTAGAAATCAAAATTTCAAAAAACCCAAAAACTACTCAGGCGCTGAAAAAGTGTGGGTCATCACAATCTAGTCTTGCCTCTGGCTCTAGTTCTCGATAGGGATCCAGCTAGCAAATTGGTAAGGTGCCGACCATTACCCGTGGTAACCAAAGTATCATCCATAAGACTCCTGAGCTCTAGTAGATCTCCATTCTTCTTATTCCTCCTGGAAGTGTAAATTTGTCATTCCTCTTCCGAAGAGTCAGCCTGATGGGATAGATCTGAAGTAGAAGGAATACCAACAATAGTACCCATAGTAGGTTCTACAATATGTAAAGCATAAGTTGCCTCTACACCGGATACTTTTTGAAGAAGTGGAGATGCGAGACTCTCCTGATTATTAGTTTGAGCACTATCATTTATAGGTAATGGTCCATCAGTATTGTTTTCTATGGAGTTTGTAGGTATGGAGTTTGTAGGTGCCAAAGTTTGTAGGTGCCAACATCGCATCACTCGTAGTAACAGTAACAACAGTGTGATGGGGGGTCCTTAGGAGCATCAGACACCTCCTGTCTGGTAGTATCTTTTTCAGGTGGAACTAAAATGTCCACAATAGTGGGGTCACTTAAACCTTAGATTTCAAATTAAGATAAACTTATGACATTTAGCAAGGATATGACCAAACATCTTACAGTGGGTACAATATGGGAGTTTGTGTTCCATGATGATTTGTTGCCAATAACTATTATCGGTTGTACCCAGCCAGACTTCAGTAACATCAGGTAAAGCAATAGCCCTTTCCACAAGTATTCTGGCTACCGAGGGTTTGGTTAGGGTGAAAGTAGCCGATCTAGTTTCAAATGATCCCTAAAGATGACCCTAATAGAGTAGAGAGCCTGATGGTGAAAAAAATGCAGCTTGAGACTATGTAAACTAAACCATACCGACATAGTGAGAGTTTCATGCTTTAAGTTAAAATTAGGAGACCACTTGAGTAACTTCATTGATTTGCCTTCGTTATTAAGATATTTCTTGGAGTAAGTTCTGGTGTAGTCTTTTGCTACTGTTAGTTGGATCAACACATGTCTCCCATCCATGAGTCCACTTTCCACTTGCCTACTGGCTTAAGATTATCAACACTCTTTCTGATAGCCTCCATAGGTGAGTGTCTCCACTGAAATTTTTCAATGAGAGCGAACTTAGGGTAGAAATTTCTGATTCAAAGACAAGTTTGCTTCTTTTCCTCCTTTCCTACTTCCCTTCTTAATAAAAGGACAATCATCTGTATCCTCACGACATTCCTTATAACTTGAGGGGAATACCACTGCGTACTCCTCCTGAGGGTTACCCACCACGCGGGCAAATGAGAGTATGTCCGGCTCAACCAAATAAGAATGAAACCCCATCAGAGGCTGTCGGCGTTAAACTGCTGCGAGGTTGCTGAAAGGCAGGAAGAGGAGCAGTCGGGCACAGAAGTAGGAGCAACGCCAAAATAGAAGAATTGGGCGTAGTGGCAGCTGCGAGCGTCAGAGGCGTGGAAGACGACGACGCGAGCAGAGGAATGATAACGACAGAGGAAGACGAAGATGCGAGCAATGTAGATATCGCTACGCGAGCCACGACAGGGAGTGCGAACGTCAACGTCGACATAGATGCAGACGCCAGAGAGAGGGTCAACGATGCGAGATCTTCTCCCGGTATAGTCAATTGCGACCGAAATCGCCATTAGAAGCCCTAGCGGAGCTCTCGACCGTAGACGACATCGTGAAGAACCACAAATAGATAATTACTTAGAATGCACGTTAAAAAAATTACATAATAAAGGAAGGGTATGTAAATTTTTTGAATGATGCTTACAGTCATCCGGTGCCTTAATTGTTTTAGTACAAATGTTGAAGTGTGCTTTGGCAAATTTTTTAGGATGAATAATATCTTAATATGACAACTAGCACATATTTAATTGTTGATGGATTCCTGTACTTGAATTTCTTGGTAGCTATATCTCCTTTCTCTATTAATTACATGATCTTACTTCATCCATCTTTCAAACAATATTTGAAGTGAAGTACATTGGTGAATGGTACATGCAAAAGATATACTCCTATTAGATGAGAACACTTTTGAAGAATGTGTTAAAATATTAGATACAATTTTTAAAGCATGTGCTAAAACAAGTATAATAAAGATCAACTTCAGGGTAGGTAGTTAAATTGGAAGTGTTATTGTTAAATAGGAATATTGTTTGAAGATCGGCTGATAGTTGTGTGATTTGTCTTTGATTATTATATAAAAGTATGTTGGTATCTACTTATATTTTAACTTGTATAATTTTGTAAAATTGTAGTTTGACTAGTTATATTGCATAGGTTTTTCCATTGGATGGAACTTGGTGATAACCAAGTAAAAAATGGTAGAAATAAGAATTTTAAGATTAATGTCTGGCGACGCTCAAGTGTTAGATTGAAAATTGACCATTTTAGATGTTAAAAAGGAAGAGTATAGGTAGCACACCAATATGGCAAATATATTGATTTAAGGTCAAAGGTGTACGTAAGATCATGAGTTGATTAAATCCATGCAAAACGTTTGTGGAAAATAGTGTTATGAACTCACGTAGCATTAATGGAAGAGGAATTACATAGCTCTCCCGAAGGTCTGTTATTGTTAGTGATGATTGTATTATAAAGATGATATTGCTGTAATTCATGTAGTATTATATTATCATTAAAAGAAAAATATCATTGACGGTTCTTTATTTATCAACTTTACATACTTTCTTAGTTTTAAGCCTTTTGTTTTTAAATACAGTATTATGATATTTTAAATGATTAACTGATTAGTTTATGGCGGTAATAGTAAACTGATTGCTGCTTTTTAGGTTGCAAATTTTGAATTCATAGATGAAGTTGAAGCAGCTGCTGCGAGAGAGCAGGAAGCTTTAAGAAGGTCTATGGCTGAAAATGATTCTACATCCAATCCTGATAGGTCCAATTACTGGGAAGAATTACTCAGGGACAAGTATGAAGTAATGCATATTGAAGAGTCTACAGCGATGGGCAAGGGAAAACGAAATCGCAGACAGGTTCTTTTTTGTTTGCACTCCTTTTATTTATGCCAAGACTTATGTTTACCTGCTTTCTTGTTACTGCCATTTATCATGCTATTAAAGTTTTCAGAATTTTGTTGTTATTTTATTTTTCACGTTTCTGTGTATTTTTTTTAATTAAATATTGTTTACCATTATGCACACCATACTGCAAGCCCTACTCAATCTAAATATCTGCCGTATTTTCTTTTTAAAACATCAACTTTCATGGTATATGGTGCATTTCCAATGAGTAAATGATTCCCTATTTCTGACGTGCTTTCCCCTCTTAAAAATATACTCTGATGTTTCTAAGCAATCTCACTCATTATTTTTTAGATGGAATGATCTCTTTAGAAGTCTAGAATGGTGATTTTTGTGCATACAATGGTTATTAGCCAGATAATAAGTGGAGTTAATTTGTTGACTGTATTTATGTTTGGTTACTATCATCAATTATTTTTAAATCGAAACTACATATTGGAATTTCAATTCCTGATTGGAAATTTTTTCAACAAGTTTGTGGTTAGCATATTATAGCTTCAATAGACAGTCATTTTGTTATGAACTGCCATCCTTTGTTGACGTCAGTTTAGCCATAAAAACTTCCTTCGACATGTCAAAGACTGTATATGATTTTTTTTATCTTCTAATCTTTTTAGGACTCGCTGCATAATATTGCTCACATGAGAAAGCGAAACAATTGATTATTTTGGGCACTAATTATAGTAGGTTAATAGTTTTTTGCTTGTGCCTGCATATAGTTTTGGCTGTTGTATGGATGTGCCATCATTGGGTATCAACATTTTAAAGTTTTATAGGTTCGGGAATTCCTGTATTGTTTTCTTCCTTTATATTGTTCCTTCATTGGTACTTAGTTTTATATAATATATCGATGGAGGCAGAGGCGGCAAAAATGAAGTTCCTTCCATTTAGGTTATCGGCGACGGCTGATTCGGGGTTTCGGCGACGGCTGATTCGGGGCTTCGGCACACGTTGATCTCACGGCTACTACTCTCCTTCTCCTTTCAACAAAGCCGCATACCTTTCTCTTCTGCCTTCGATCGCTTCCTCCACAAGAGCAGAACGTCATGGCTTCCTTCGATTATTGTTCGGTGTCCAAGCCACAACTTCGGCTAGGTTTTGCTGCTTCCTTCGACTAGGTTTCGCTTCGTCCCTCTACCTGCTGTAGTTGCCCTAATTGTTGTTCGACTTGTTTCAACCCCCTGGGCCGTCTCGGTCTTTTTTGTGGTGAAGGTTCGCCGTTTGCTCTTTTCTCGACTGTATTCTTCACTGCCCGTTAACGCCTCGCCTCCTACTTCAACCGGTGATAGCTTCAAACAGAACTTATACTGCTGGCCTTGCGAGTGTTTACGCCTCAGGTACTTTTAAATTGTGTTTGTTCTTGCATTCTTTTGCGATGTCCGAGGGTGGCGAATTCTGTTGAATCAATAAAGGTAGGAAGAATGAAAAACCAACAATCTTTTTTACTTAAGTCAAATGTAATCTGCTTGCTTTCTCTTGCCTTTTAAATTTGGTCGTGAAATTCCTTTCTTACTATCCCAAACTAGAGCTTATGCGTAAAAAATTTGAGCTTATATACCTTGTTGGGGGGTGAAAAATTAGACTTCTAGATGGGCGACACATCCTTATTCAACTTTACAATGAAGATGATTACCTATGTTTTTTTGCTAGAAGACTAGTTTGGATTGATAACAGAGCAATGAAAATTTTGAAATGGACTGTGGATTTTGACCTACAGACGGAACTACCAACCATACCCGTCTGGATCCACCTCCTTGGCCTGAAGTTTCATTATTTTAATTAAGAAGTGTTGCATTCTATTGTTGTAGTTTATGGTAGGCTACTCAAAATGCACATTCCCGCTTTTAATCTTTCACGTCCTTTAGAAGCCAAAATGCTGGTTGAAAGGGACATCACTTTAACTGCTCCTGAGAAAATTTGATTAGGATTACAACACCAAGGATTTTGGCAAGAGGTAGTTATTGAGCATTTCCCTTTGTATTGCTCTAACTGTTGAAAGTTCGGTCACTCCAATTCTTAATGTCACCACATACACCCCCATCTAAAACCAAAAAAGTAAAGTGCTTGGCCAGATTTTGGGATCCCCCTCCTACTCTTCTTGAAGTTAATGACAATCTTGATCATCACAAGGATATCTCTGATCCCTTTTACACTGTGGTAACCGTACCATCTAGTCCACTGTTTGACGTGGTTGTCGGGTCAATTACTCCTTGGGAAATCTTTCAACTATTCAGCCTCTACACAAGGCTCAAGCTGAAGGCCCTCTGATTCCTCCTGTAGAACCTCAATTGGTGGTGGCAGATGAGACATTTGATACTTCACCTACTCTAGAATCTATCATTGATGTAACAGTTGACAATATCATGGTGGGGTGTCCAGCCATAGGTGTGCCCTAGCCTCAAATTCAATATTCTACCATAAGTGAGTTTTCTACTGTAGCCTTACCACCTCATTAGATTGACCAAGTTATTGTCATTTAGATTGACAAGTTGTTACTGTCTTTTAGGCACAAGTGGATCATGTTGTGCAATAGCCTACACATGCCCGACAATTTTTGGATTAATACACTGATCAAATGAGGCAGCCTTCGGATAAGAATTGACGGGTTTACACATCCTGAAAGATGAAGAAAAATAAATGCCTACTAGAACTCAGGAACTTAATGGATGATACCATGGTTATATCGGGTAATGACAGTAGGCTTAATCATTTGTTAGCAGACTCCCTACCTAGAACTCGAGGTAAGAGGTAATGATACATTCTCAAGCTCCCATTATCGAGTGTTTGGAAACTTTTGGTGTAGAGTTTACATGGCTAGTTTATAATTTTAGTTTTTTGGGTATACATGTACTTTTTTGGAACTTTGGTGTGTTGTATACCGCGGGCTTACCAGTTTGGACCCTCTCACCCAACCTTTCTATACCTTTCATTTCTAAGACATTAGCTTTTGATTTTACTTAATATATATACATGCCAAGACACACGAGATCAGCTGGTACAACAAGTAGATGCTTCCAATGTTCAACAACCTACACATGTCCGACACACTTTAGAACAATCCACTGATCAGATGAGTCAGTTTTCGGATGAGGAATGACTAGTATATTTCAGAAGAAAGACAAAGAATAGAGGCAGACTCGAGCTCAGAAACTTTTTGGACGATACACTGGTTACTACTGACAATGACACTCATCTTACCAATTTCTTAGTTGGCTCCTTTACTAGAACTAGAGGCAGAGACATGACAAAATTAGGTCGCTCTCTAGCTACCTGATACTACGTGTTTTGACATTTTTGGTTCTGGGGCTCTCATCTATTTTTTTTATATTTTCTTTTTTTTGTTTAACCATTTGCATGTGGTGTTTACCGTGTGGGTAAGGTATCATGCTTAGAGCCCTTTCATACAATTATCTGTATTTTTCTTTCTTTTTAATATATTAGGACTGGGCTTTCTCAGAGGGAGGGAGAGAGAGAGAGAGAGAGAGCAACCTATCAAGGCAAGCATTTGGATGATAGGCAGGTGATTGGACATATATAATAGAAAATAAAAGAATTAAAAGAAGCTCCAATCCCTAGCTCTCCTTCGCGACATCCTTCCTACACTGGATTGAGTGCAAGCTATCTCACACTTCCTTACACTCTTCTGAGTAGGTATGTATAGCGAGGCTACTTAACCGGGGCCAACCCAGCTGGGAGGGTGCATCAGTTCTTGGAGGGAGGCAACGGGGGCCAACTCAGTCAATTATTTTTGTTAGGTTTACTACCCGAGTCCTCCTTAATATCTACTATTATAAATATATCTTTTGCTTTCTTTAGGGTTAGTTTTTTGCTGAGTTTTTTGTCATGACAGCCGTTGACGTCCAAGTTTTCCTCTTTGAGAGTTGTATCAGAAGGTGATAAGATGTTCCAGTTGTAACTCGTTTTGAGGTGGCTTATCTACCCTTGCCCAATTTCGCAACCTTATCCCAACCACATTGTTGTTTTCTCTGTCGGAATTTCTTTGCCGACATTTTGCTGCTATTCAGCCACCGTCCAACCCTTCATCTCCCTGCTTGTTGCCGAGAACCACAACCACCCTACTTGCTGCTGCACATCCCTCCATGCTCTCTTCTTGTTGCCTCCAAACTATTTTAGCACTCCACCCTGCCACTGCAGCCCCCTACACCACTCTGCTCTGCTGTCTGCTATTGCTGCAACCTTTCACCAATCCATCTGCTGTTGTCGTAACCTCTCAGTCCGCCACCCACATGTTGTTCAACTGGTGTTTACCACTTTCGGCATCACTATAGGTTGTCTTTTATGTTTGTGCTGCTTATTTTCTATTATCAAGAGTCTTTATTTCTAATCCTTTTTTATTTAAGCAATAATATTTGCACTTTATCTGTTGTTATGGTTTTGCTCAACTCTGGTGTCATTTGGTATCAAAACTAGCCTAACCTCAGTTCTATTCTAGCATTTGCCTTACCTCTACCAAAATTTTTATCTCATATTCCCAATCCATGTATAAATTTTGACCTAGCCCTTTTTTCCCTTTGCTTAAAATCAGCTACCCCAAATCAATTTTCTCACACCTTCAATTAATCTCATACACTCTTATTACTCCTTCTTTCCCCTCCCAGCCCGAAAACTTATGCTACCAATGAGATATCTGCCGAGCTTACCTGGGAAGACATATAGTGAAAGATCTGTCGACTTCAGCGGAGAGTTACAGACATGAAAGATGAAACCCAACTGGAAGTTACTCTCGATCGTGTCAGGGGAAGTCGAAGAGGTGAAAGAATTTTAACCCATTCCATAGGGAGGATTTCATTGCTGAAGAAGACAGGCCACAACACTTTGGAATCCACTATTAGAGAAGGTTGAGAGAGGAGACCACATATAGAGGACATATGGAGTTCAAAATAAAAGTGGATCTACCAGAGTTCGATGTAGGTATGAATTCAGATGGCTTT